GACCCTAGGGCTTTTATTTGAACAAACTTGGTAGACACCCATTAGAACATGTTTCATGCTAGATATCTTAGCTCTAGCTCTTTGAGTTCTTTAAAAGAAGATTTTTTAAGTTTTTACTATATGCATATAGGGAAAATCAATGAGCCCCTGGGGCGGGGCCAATTTTGACCCCAGGGCTTTTATTTCAACAAACTTGGTAGACACTCATTAGAAGATGTTTCATGCTAAATATCTTAGCTCTAGCTCTTTGGGTTCTTTAAAAGAAGATTTTTTAAGTTTTTACTATATGCATATAGGGAAAATCAAAGACACCCTGGGGCGGGGCCAATTTTGACCCAAGGGCTTTTATTTGAACAAACTTGGTAGACACTCACTAGAAGATGTTTCATGCTTTATATCTAAACTCTAGCTATCTGGGTTTTTTCAAAGATGATTTTAAGTTTTTGCTATACACTGTCATATAAGGAAAATCAATGACCCCCGGGGCTGGGCCAATTTTGACCCAAGGGCTTTTATTTGAACAAACTTTATAGACACTCACTAGAAGATGTTTCATGCTTAATATCTAAACTCCAGCTATTTGGGTTTTTTCAAAGAAGATTTTTTAAGTTTTTGCTATACACATATAAGGAAAATCAATGACCCCCTGGGACGGGGCCAATTTTGACCCCAGGGCTTTTATTTGAACAAACTTGGTAGACACCCATTAGAACATGTTTCATGCTAAATATCTTAGCTCTAGCTCTTTGAGTTCTTTAAAAGAAGATTTTTTAAGTTTTTACTATATGCATATAGGGAAAATCAATGACCCCCTGGGGCGGGGCCAATTTTGACCCTAGGGCTTTTATTTGAACAAACTTGGTAGACACTCATTAGAAGATGTTTCATGCTAAATATCTTAGCTCTAGCTCTTTGGGTTCTTTAAAAGAAGATTTTTTAAGTTTTTACTATATGCATATAGGGAAAATCAAAGACCCCCTGGGGCGGGGCCAATTTTGACCCAAGGGCTTTTATTTGAACAAACTTGGTAGACACTCACTAGGAGATGTTTCATGCGTAATATCTTAACTCTAGCTATTTGGGTTTTTCAAAGAAGATTTTTAAGTTTTTGCGATACACATATAGGGAAAATCAATGATCCCCGGGGCGGGGCCAATTTTGACCCCAGGGCTTTTATTTGAACAAACTTTGTAGACACTCACTAGAAGATGTTTCATGCTTAATATCTAAACTCCAGCTATTTGGGTTTTTTTCAAAGAAAATGTTTTAAGTTTTTGCTATACACATATAAGGAAAATCTATGACACCCGGGGCGGGGCCAATTTTGACCCCAGGGCTTTTATTTGAACAAACTTGGCAGACACCCATTAGAACATGTTTCATGCTAAATATCTTAGCTCTAGCTCTTTGAGTTCTTTAAAAAGAAGATTTTTTAAGTTTTTCCTATTGGTTGCCATGGCAACCAGAGCTTTTAATGGAATTTAGATTTTTGAACAACTTTGAAAGGGGTCCACCTAAGGATAATTTCTGTAAAGTTTGGTTGCAATTGGCCATGTGTTTAGGAGGAGATGTTGTTTGAAAAGTTTGACGCCATTTTTTGAAGGGCGCACGACGCACGGACGCACGACGGACGCAGAGTGATGACAAAAGCTCACCCTTGAGCATTTTGTGCTCAGGTGAGCTAAAAAACGAATACGCCTTGGAATCAGGCCAATGGTTTTTTACGGTTGTCGTGAGAATATTGTGGGTTTTTTTTAACGAAATTTTCTACAAGTTATATACAGAAAGAACAAATTGCAAGTCCGAAAAACGACCATTTCATGCGGAAATCTCCTAGACATATTTCTAATGTTAGGGCATTGTCCTTAAATTACAGGAAAGCAGACCAACCAAACTTGTACAAAATCGAATCCGTATTGGAATCAGTCAAACGTTTTTATCCCTGGTTTTCTCGTTTTACTAAAATTTCAACAATTCATATACGGAAATAACAAATCGCCGGTACCTAAAGCTACACTAACTGAGACTTCTTGTTCTTTCTTTTCTTGCAGGAGAGTTTTGAGCCATATATTGCTATGAAGAAGATCTTACAAACTGATATTATCAACTTGATATGTACATTTTTATGTATGTAGCGTTCATTTTACAAAAACTTACTGTGCAGGATCTCAATTCCTATAAGAAAGTTCTCTGAAATGCGGTTTTTTTGTTTGTTTGTTTTTTGTCACACTAAACTTACTTTCATTTTTATAAAGTACCGAAATACATGTTTAATATACTATAGTATATAGATGGTTTTGGAAAGGTAAATATTATAAATTATTTTTCCCTTAAAATAATAAGAGGATATTTATTAAATAATTTCCTTTATTTTTTCAAGAAATTATTTCAATCTCGTTCGAACGAGATTTTTGTTTACAAATCACTGGTTCCATTTCAGTGTATATATTAGTAAGGTAGTAAACGGAACCAATATCACTCTCAACAACTATATAAGCACGTGAAACTCGTGCATCGGTCTCTCAATTTACAACTCGCCGTCCGAGTACACTTCAAATTAACTCTTCGGATTTTACATCGGAAATCTCGCTGTTTGGAATGCCACGTGGAAGAGGAAGACCAGTTAGGGCTTCAAGGCCAGTAAATACTGCAAACCAGCCTAAATATGTACAGACAAGGGGTCGGAAAAGGCAGGCAGAGGAGGGCGGTGACTCCCTAGTAGAAGACACGTCCTTACAGTCCAACGCAGATGTCTGGGTGTTAGGCGATTCGTTGCCGTATTGGGCCGGGGTTCACGCATCAGACACTTTCAAGAGCAATTTAAAGATCGACGGTGTAACAATTGCATGGTGGGGAAAAAGAGGCCTTGGTTGGTCGGGATTGAGGCGTCACATTGAATTGCAGGTTCTATTGTCTCAGCCACCTAAAATGGTAATTATTAACTTGGGGGGGAAACGACTTGCAATCTTTTAAAACACCTGACATAAGAAATCTTATAAAACAGGAAATTGACTATTTGCGTGATGCCTTTCCTGACACCCTTCTTGTGTGGATGGATATCCTCCCACGAACTTGGCCGGAAAATGAAAACAAGCCCTTAAACTTAAAGAGAAAGCGTTTAAATAGATTAGGTCGAAGAATTGTCATGGAGTCTGGGAAGGGGGCGATTATTACCACTGAGATTAATGACGCCTGTTTCTTCCGCCCTGATGGTATCCATTTAAACATTGTAGGCTTGGAGTTTTATTTAGACTATTTGAAAGATGCAATTGTTGAAAATTTATTAAATTAAGTGTTCATCGCTATTTTTTTGGAGGATAAATTTTTTGTGTCAAAATTTACTGTGGCGGGAAAAAAATTATGTCGATCGGGAGGCGGCCGTCTGGTTAACAATCTTGTCTACGGTCTTAACTATTACCGTGTATTTAATCAGCGTTAATATTATAAATTTATATCTTTGGCGTTTAAACTTCTAAAATTGTTTTTGTCGGTATAAAGTATGACACAGTGTATGTGTCGGTATAAAGTATGACAAAGTGTATGTGTCGGTATAAAGTATTACACAGTGTATGTGTCGGTATAAAGTGTGACACAGTGTATGTGTTGGTATAAAGTGTGACACAGTGTATGTGTCGGTATAAAGTGTGACACAGTGTATGTGTCGGTATAAAGTGTGACACAGTATATGTGTCGGTATAAAGTGTGACACAGTGTATGTGTCGGTATAAAGTGTGACACAGTGTATGTGTCGGTATAAAGTGTGACACAGTGTATGTGTCGGTATAATATGTGACACAAGTGTTTTGAGTCAGGTAACCAGATATTGCTCTAGTGCTTTGGTAATATCTGTGTGTTTGTAATCGGTATTCGTACTTCAGACTCCGTGATGCTTCTGGTAGTTTTCATTATTTTACGGTTATCGGTAGGATAATGGAAGGTATCAGTGGTTGTCAGCTGGTCCGTGTTGATGTACAATTATTTTGGCTCCGTGGCTTTGCCGGTACCCGATATTATTATATGGTTATCCGTACGATAATGGAAGGTGTCGGTCTTTGTCAATTAGTTCGTATTGGTATATCAATAAGACACTGGTAAACATAAGTGACTAGTATTCGGTTAATGTTTGGCAATCTGTTGGTCAATTATTATGACTAACATTTTTGTTTTGGCCTCCTTCCGGTCGGCATACGTTTTTTCCCAAACTAAAACCACGTTGGTTATCCACGTTGTTTATCTCGAGTGGCCATAATTTCCCAAAACATTGATACAAACTTGAATTTATTTTCTAAATAGTAAACATTTTATAAATGTACCATGTTGTTGTTTTCTCTTTTTCTTGTAACAAAATAAATAGAGGATATTTGTTAAGTTCAGTGTAAGATCGGAATATATTTCACCGAGTGAGCACCAAAAGGTATATTTCACGAGTGGCGCAGCTACGAGTGAAATATGAACTTTTGGTGTTCACAGGGTGAAATATATTTCGATCTTACACTAAAGTAAACAAATTTTCTTTTTATTATATGCAAAGAAACGTTTTAACAATACATTAAACCTAATACTGAATGAAAAGTGCGCCAAATAATAATACGTGACGTCATTTACGACGTCACGTCATTAAGTTGGTGCCCAGTATTGTGGACGTTGGTATTTCGCTGAAACAACGTAAGGGACTTAAATTCAAAACAGTGAAATTATCAAAGTGGTAATTTCACTGTTTCAAACAGTGAAATTACCAGTTTTATATCACCGATATATTTCTATAAACCACCGAAAAGCATGTAATAAAATGTTTAGTTTGTTAAAGTATGGCATGTCCATCAAATAAATGTTTAGTATATGTGGTATGGAAATGGCCTGCTTTTGTTCTGAAATAGCCCAATGCTAACATAGCATTCAAATGTCTCAGCTAAGGGCAACTTGGGATATCTGAATACATTGGTAATCATTTTTTGCACACAAGTGTTCCAAGGACGAATATATAGAAAATCTGATTTTTTCTTTATTTCATTTTATTTTGCAAGAAAACAAGTAGCATTTTATCATATGTTATATAACATAAAGAATCTACAACATAATATATATGAGTATCACAGTTCTAATAAATCACAGATCTAACAATTATTCATAAAATCTATATGCATATCACTGGTATAAATACATGTAATTAAATATAAAAGCTGAATCAGAGTTATATTTCATGTATGATTCCAATACAAAAATATAAATTAAACTTCCTGGTCTACCAATTAGAGTTATTCAGCTCAGACAATACTTAACCACATTTTGTGTATCAAAAAGCAATATTTTATAAGCTTAACACCTGCTAAAAAGTGTCCATTTACATAAGATTCTTAAATTCAGTATCAAAGACAAAGGATTAGTTCTTTCCAGAATATTGAAAACTTTTGTTCAGCCTTTATATTTAACGTTAAAGAATACAATACAACTGTCAAGTTTGATTTTAAACTTAACTTCAGTTTTTCATTAAAACTGATAATTAGCTTTGAGTATAATAACTTATTCACATGTGACTTCCAATACATATTCAACTACTTTGATAACTAAGCAAAAAAAATTTGAAAAGCTGTTTGACAGATTAGGAGGAAGTATATTTTTACTGGATTAGTGGATTTAAAGAGCAATCTTAAACATTACAACATTGAAAAATAAAAGTAGGAGTTTTTCAACAACAAAAATGCAAGAACAAGAACAATATCCTGACTTTTTAGATATATAAATAGATCATAATAAAACACCTGACAAATACACATACCAATTTGAATGATTATATCATTACTTTAATAGTTTGACATGGTACTACATGAAATGAAAATAAGATATGTTAGTATATCAATAATTATAATAAAATGAATGTGACATACTAGCCTAGTACAATGACAACAGGCACTACAGTATATAGTATATCTACTAACAAAAACTGTGAAACATTCAATACTGATTGAAAACTGCCATTAACTATAGCACCCATAAAAATGTGAAATAAATATTTGTGCATAAAAAAAAACAATAAAATATAGGACAATACAGTATAATCTAAAAATAAACATTCGTATATACCCTTGTACATTTATCAGCAGTATTACCTTGTATAACATATAACTTGTATAACATTCAACTTGTATAACATTTAACTTGTATAACATTATATCATATAACAGTTGTATTCTGTAATAACCCAAGTCAGTCTGATTGAAATAAAAAAATAATTTTTGCATTTGCTGTTGTATCCCTATAACATGACTGTCAATATGGTCTGATGAAAATTATCAGTCTAGTTGTGCAGTATTATAACTTTTGAGAAATATATTAATATGATAACTATTATTAATTTTAAATTTGCATAAATCCTTCTTTACAAAATTTGTATTTTTGTAAGTTTTCTTCAGTTTAAATGATAAGTTAAATAAGAAACTTGTGAGCAGTTTTCTGCTCACATCATTAGTTGATTTAATAAGTTTTTAAAGGAAAAAAAATATCTTCCCAGGAACAAGAGAAAAATATTCTTGTAACATCTTTAAATTATGTCACAACAAAACAAATTACTAATTTAGCATATAGCTATACATTTGACAGGATCTGTCCCTGTAAATGCATTATAAATAAAAACAAAAAATGCTACCTCCAAGCAAACATACCTAGCTAAATATTCTGGACAGCTATGATATATTACTGTTCCCAGTCTTCAGTAGTCCTTTAGCTACCGGTACATTATCACCCTGATTTATATCTACTTAGCACAATTCTTAACTGATGTAGCCACTACAGTAGGAATTTGTCACTTGCTCCACTACAGTAGGAATTTATCACTTTCTTTATATCTTTATTTTCTCTTCTTTAATGCTGTTTTTGTTCCAGCAGTCAGACTTTTACTGACACCACCTCCACCTTTCTCTGTGGACTTTTTTCTATCACTATCAGAATCCCCGTCCACTTTCTCTCCTTTAACTTTTCTTTCTTCCTCTTCAAGTCTCTCTTTCTCTTGTTCAGCCCTCATTCTTCTCTCCTTACGTGAATTAATCACAAGCTCTGCACATGGTTTTAAAGGTGCCCCTTCAACAAATTCACTTCCTTAAATGTAGAGAAAATCATTGTGTTAGTTTTTAACAAATGAAATGCCTTAATCATGAAATAAAAACAGATGTATTCAAAACATACCTTTTATTGGAAAGTAGTAATTTTGTCAAAGAAGTTTTCAATTATCTATCAAGTGAAATGTTTACAAAAAGTTATTAATTGGACTAGGTTCATATTCTTAGATCAGAATGTACGCGTCAAATAATAATCATGTTATCATCAGTAACAAAATAACTATACATATAACACAAATTACATCGGAATATTTCTATTAACAGATAACAACAGACATATGAGCCGTGTCTAGACAAAACCAACATAGTGCGTTTGCGATCAGCATGGATCCAGACCAGCCTGAGCATCCATGCAGTCTGATCAGGATCCATGCTGTTCGCTTACCAACTCTATTACAAGTAGAGAAACTGATAGCGAACAGCATGGATCCTGATCAGACTGCGCAAATACGCAGGCTGGTCTGGATCCATGCTGGTCGCAAACACACTTTGTTGGTTTTGTCATGACGCGGCTCATATGTTTTTTACATGTAAATAGATCTGTATATAATAAGAAACATCTATTGAAACACACAACAATATATAAACAATATCGTGTAAATTGAAAAACATTTCTTAGAAAGATGAGATGAAAAATTAAAATTCATTTTTTTTTTTTTCAGTGTTATTTCTGTTTTCAAGCAGTTATTCATGTATTACTTTACAATTCCTCAATTCTTTATCAGTTCTAACCTCTTGCAATGTCAATCTTATGTAATTTTATTTCATGCTGACCAGTGTTTTACTTAATATATCAGATGATTATATTCTGATAAACCACTAGTATAATTTTCACTGTACCCAGACTATATCTGAATGCGAATGAAAAGAATATCATAAGTACATAACATAACAGGCGAAAATAAATGTTGTCATATGTAAATTTTGCTTATTTAGGAAAAAAGTCAATACCATCATACATCATGTTAAAAATGTAACAAAATTAGAGGAATTAAACTATATTTCAAAATTGATGATGTGACGTCATAATGTGCTGACGTCACAAAGGAGAATGCGCGACATTACGCGGGCAAAATCAGTAAACAAGAGGGCCATGATGGCCCTGAGGTCGCTCACCTGTATATAGGCCCCCCCCCACCCCCGGGCCAATTTTTACCCAAGGGCTTTTATTTGTTTATTTGAACAGACTTGGTAGACACCCATAAGAAGATGTTTCATGCTAAACATCTAAGTTCTAGCTCATTGGCTTTTTTAAAAGAAGATTTTTAAAGTTTTTACTATTCACATATAGTTAAAAACAATGACACCCCTGGGGCAGGGCCAGTTTTGACCCCCGGGCGTTTATTTTAACAAACTTTGTAGATATTTACTTTAAGATGATTCATGCTTAATATCTAAACTCTAGCTATTTGGGTTTTTCCAAAGAAGATTTTTAAGTTTTTGCTATACATATATAAGGAAAATCAATGACCGCCGGGCGGGGCCAGTTTTGACCCTAGGGCTTTTATTTGAACATACTTGGTAGACAACCATTAGAACATGTTTCAAGCTAAATATCTTAGCTCTAGCTCTTTGAGTTCTTTAAAAGAAGATTTTTTAAGTTTTTACTATACGCATATAGGGAAAATCAATGACCCCCTGGGGCGGGGCCAATTTTGACCCCAGGGCTTTTATTTGAACATACTTGGTAGACACTCATTAGAAGATGTTTCATGCTAAATATCTTAGCTCTAGCTCTTTGGGTTCTTTAAAAGAAGATTTTTTAAGTTTTTACTATATGCATATCGGGAAAATCTATGACCCCCTGGGGCGGGGTCAATTTTGACCCAAGGGCTTTTATTTGAACAAACTTGGTAGACATTCACTAGAAGATGTTTCATGCCAAATATCTAAGCTCTAGCTCTTACGGTTCTTTAAAAGAAGATTTTTTAAGTTTTTACTATATGCATATAGGGAAAATCAATGACCCTCGGGGCGGGGCCAATTTTGACCCCAGGGCTTTAATTTGAACAAACTTGGTAGACACTCACTAGAAGATGTTTCATGCTTAATATCTTAGCTCTAGCTCTTACAGTTCTTTAAAAGAAGATTTTTTAAGTTTTTACTATATGCATATAGGGAAAATCAATGACCCTCGGGGCGGGGCCAATTTTGACCCCCAGGGCTTTAATTTGAACATACTTGGTAGACACTCACTAGAAGATGTTTCAAGCTTAATATCTTAGCTCTAGCTCTTTGGGTTCTTTAAAAGAAGATTTTTTAAGTTTTTACTATATGCATATAGGGAAAATCAATGACCCCCTGGGGCGGGGCCAATTTTGACCCCAGGGCTTTTATTTGAACAAACTTGGTAGACATTCACTAGAAGATGTTTCATGCCAAATATCTAAGCTCTAGCTCTTACAGTTCTTTAAAAGAAGATTTTTTAAGTTTTTACTATATGCATATAGGGAAAATCAATGACCCCCAGGCGCGGGGCCAATTTTGACCCCAGGGCTTTTATTTGAACAAACTTGGTAGACACTCACTAGAAGATGTTTCATGCCCAATATCTTAGCTCTAGCTCTTTGGGTTCTTTAAAAGAAGATTTTTTAAGTTTTTACTATATGCATATAGGGAAAATCAATGCCCCCCTGGGGCGGGGCCAATTTTGACCCCAGGGCTTTTATTTGAACAAACTTGGTAGACACTCACTAGAAGATGTTTCATGCCAAATATCTAAGCTCTAGCTCTTATGGTTTTTTAAAAGAAGATATTTAAAGTTTTTTCTTTTGGTTGCCATGGCAACCAGAGTTCTGCATGGAATTAAATTCTTTGAACAATTTTTAAAGGTGACCACCAAAGGAACATTCCTGTGAAGTTTGGATGAAATTGGCTTAGTGGTTTATGAGGAGATGTCATTTAAAGCAAAAGTTTACGGACGGACGGACGACGGACGGACGGATGACGGACGGACGCCGGACGAAAAGCGATCACAAAAGCTCACCCTGTCACTTTGTGACAGGTGAGCTAAAAATACTTAATACCACTTAAAAAAGAAAATTTATTTGTTTTACATATAAGATTGAAATATATTTCATTCGTGAACACCAGCTATTTTATTTTCACTCGTGGCTATGTCACTTGTGAAAATATTGCATCTGGTGTTCACTCAGGGAAATTATATTTCAATCTTACATGCAAAACAAACAAATATCCTCTGTGTAAACTTTACAGCATGAACTACTTTTATCAAAAACAAACGGTTTCACGCTAAGTTGTCACATATTTGATGATGGGTTTTTATACTGATCTATAATAAACAATCTCCTTGTAAAATTTATGGATACAATTCCTTTTTAAAAACACATCTAGAAATTTACTATATGTCTACACTACATTCAGAATAGAAAACAAGATGTCTAAAAATATAATACCGTGTCATGACAAAACCAACATAGTGCGTTTGCGACCAGCATGGATCTAGACCGCCTGCGCATCCGTGCAGTCTGATCAGGATCCATGCTGTTCGCTTACCAACTCTATTACAAGTAGAGAAACTGATAGCGAACAGCATGGATCCTGATCAGACTGCGCGGATGCACAGGCTGGTCTGGATCCATGCTGGTTGCAAGCACTATGTTGGTTTTGTCGTGATGCGGCTCATATAGTCTCACATTATTCTTAAGTGGCTGTAGTTTTCAAGTTTGTATACAGAAAAACAGACAGATTTTCAGTCAGATACTTTTTCATACATTCTAGTTTTTGTACAGACAGAATTACAGAAAGACAAAGTGATCAACACTACATGATCATGCAACTTTTTGACTGTAAACATTTCAAACATTTGATACTAAGAATATATTATACAGTAGATATATATATCTCCACATAAACAGCTACACAATATTAACCATCACCTGCATTAGATTTTCTTGGCTCTGCTGTTAATGCATAACCTTTAATTGGATTTAATACATAATTTACAGACTTTTAAGAAATAAAAACCTTTACTGATTAAAACTATGTTAATTGTCAAAAAAAATTGTAACTTATTTAAAAATTTGTGGCTCATGATCATAAATGCAGAAAATTAAAACAACAGTATAAATTTTAAGTATTATTGTATTTGTTATAATTTAAAAACATATTTTAATTCAAAATCATGAAAATATTGTTCATTCACTAAGATTTGAATGTAGAATAACTGAGATATAATTTTACCTATCAATTTCTTTGCTTCAACACCATTTATAATGGGATTCATCCAGGTTGACTGTCTAGTGTCAGTTAATCCTGTTGCCTTGGGAACATAGATATAAAATAACAAGTTCATTGCCTCGTGTTTCTTCAACCCATTTCCTTTCTTTAATGATTGACCTGTAAAATTTCAAGATAATTCCTTTAGCAAAGTTGTCTTTTCACAATATTTCAAGACAGAAGGAAATGATCTATGTATTGCTATAATGCATTTCGTAAGATAGAAACAATTTGAATTACGAACCAATAATCCCAAATGTGAAAATACTTGATTTACAATGATTAATACTTGCAATATGATCCTACTTTTTAACATATAGGTTACACCCATTAAAACTGAGAGTATTTATATCTTTAGTCTTTGATGAATAGAGTATTATTTTATTGGATTATCACTATATACTGGCAGGCAATAATTATATCTGAATGTAGTATCTAACAATAAATATATCTAACCTGACTCCCAAACAATACTCAGCACTAGAGAACAAAATATACGAAACAAGGAAATTTCTTTTCAACCTTTGGTACAGCATTTAACCTTTACCTCCCTAAATGTCTTAAATGGACGTGTCCATCTTTCTATGTGGACAAAACTAATAATCATTTTCTAAAGAATGAAATTTCTAAATATGTACTGACTGAATAGCGAACAGTGCAAACTATTATCAGATGGCACAGATGGGCCCGATGATGTTGGTCTGTTATGGTTGCATGAGTAGAATCTGTTGCCACCAACAGGCCAAAAGTTAAGGCTATTTTTATAACAGATGTATAACATACCTTTAGTAGTGACATCAAGACCTTCCTCTATCTCTGTCCGTGATGGGTACAAGTCACATTCTCTGAAAAATGCTTCCAGTTCAGACTGCTCCATCTCCGAACCAAATGCCTTCTTATCAAACTGACTTTCAAATCCTGAAATTATAATGTAAGTGCATGAAAATTCTCAATCATGGTTCTTAAAATATCAATATCACCATGTAATGTTTATTGGATTACAACATAAAATTTATATTTCTTTTCTTAAACAGTTTCGTATATGGTACTGTGTGATTATATTTAAACAACATTAGAAACAGACATCATCATCATGTCCAACACATAAATGCTAAGTCGTTTTGAAATCTGACCAGAAAATACATGAAGAGTTGCTGACCAGACATTATCATCAAAGCACTTTTATGAACAGCTTGTTTAAAGTCTAAGTGTAATCTTGACCTTTGAGCTTAAACCCTGCATCGCGATATACTACAAATTATTTAAAATTTCATCCATAAATAACAATGAAAAATGGACAGACAGACAGAGAGATAATTCAAAAGCTATATGCTTCCCTTTGGGAGCAAAAAAAATAAACATCCTTTTTCTGTAACCATTTGTAAGACCAATAAGACCAACAGTGCACATATGTTTTAAGTATTTCCAGCATCTCTTTGAAATTGAGAATGTATGGAAATTAAGTAACTTTTGAGAAATAATTAGAAGCTTTTGATGGATTGAATAAAAATATACTTATCAAATTCAACAAGATGAAACAAGGTCAATAAAAAAAGTTCAACTAATCAATGTAAGATGCTCAATCTCCCAGTATTATCTCAATATTCCGTCTGCAACAGGCTTACAGAAGATTTAAGGATGCTGTTTAAATACAGACATTTAAAGAAATGCTGGTGTTAGGATACTTACGTCTGCGCAGGTCCATGTATTCATGCATTTCTTGTAGAGAGAATGGTGTGACAGGTTTATCAACACCATGCCACCTTTGTACTCTGACAAGAAGATTTTTGTAATCTTTTACCATCTTCTCCCAGGTACTACCACAGAATGTTGCCTGAAATCAGTATAGTCAACAAACATGAGATGAGATGACATGACAGCAAACAGCCCCCTGTGTTTTCCTTTGTGTACTCTATCCTAGCAATTAAGACAAACTTAAGCCCGTTTCAAGAAATATAAATTTTAGACTTTTATTAAATTTATTCTCCTGAGAAAAGTTATAAAATACAATGGCACATACTTCAATCCCCATAAATGTTCATCTACTTCGTTATTCACAAATTGAAGAGTCTAAACATACAAGTCATAATTTAGGACATCTTCTTTTCAGTTTTGGTCTTCAGACATACTTCAAAGGACTTTCCATGAAACGCAGATATTTACCTTTACCTTGTATGGGAAATGTCCTGATCTTTTTTAAAACAATGACTGACTTCTGTGACACATCCAATATAAACTATTACATTAATGAACCAGTTTACTAAAACAAGAGGGCCATGATGGCCCTAGATCGCTCACCTGACCCATCAAACTCATCCAAACAATTACCTAGACAAGCATTCTGACCAAGTCTCATGACAGGTGAGTCAAAAATGTGACCACTACAGTGTTAACAAGGATTATCCATATTTGAGCAGTGTGACCTAGTTTTTTACCCAGGTGACCCATATTCAAACTTGACCTAGAAATCATCAAAACAAACTTTCAGACCAATTTCCAGGATATTTGGATCAAAACAGTAGTCACTAGAGTGTTAACAAGATTTTTCTATTTTTAGCTCCTGTGACCTAGTTTTTCATCCGAGATGACCAATGTTCGAACTCATCCAAGCTATCAACTAGACAAACATCCTGACCAAGTTTGATGATGATTGAGGCAAAATTGTGACCGCTAGAGTGTTAACAAGGTTTTTCTATTTTTAGCTCTTGTGACCTAGTTTTTCATCCGAAATGACAAATGTTCGAACTCATCCGAGCTATCAAATAGATAAGCATCCTGACCAAGTTTGATGATGATTGAGGCAAAAATGTGACCGCTGGAGTGTTAACAAGGTTTTTCTATTTTTAGCTCCGGTGACCTAGTTTTTCATCTGAGATGACCCATGTTCGAACTCATCCAAGCTATCACCTAGACAAGCATCCTGACCAAGTTTGATGATGATTGAGGCAAAAATGTGACCGCTAGTGTGTTAACAAAGTTTTTCTATTTTTAGCTCCGGTGACCTGACCTACTTTTTCATCCGAGATAACCATGTTTGAACTCGTCCAAGCTATCACCTAGACAAGCATCCTGACCAAGTTTGATGATGATTGATGCAAAAATGTGACCGCTAGAGTGTTAACAAGGTTTTTCTATTTTTAGCTCCAGTGACCTACTTTTTCATCCGAGATGACCCATGTTCGAACTCATCAGAGCTATCACCTAGACAAGCTTCCTGACAAAGTTTGATGATGATTGATGCCAAAATGTGACCGCTAGAGTGTTAACAAGGTTTTTCTATTTTTAGCTCCGGTGACCTACTTTTTCATCCGAGATGACCCATGTTCGAACTCATCCAAGCTATCACCTAGACAAACATCCTGACCAAGTTTGATGATGATTGAGGCAAAAATGTGACCTCTAGAGTGTTAACAAGGTTTTTCTATTTTTAGCTCTTGTGACCTAGTTTTTCAACCGAGATGACCCATGTTCGAACTCATCCTAGCTATCAAATAGATAAGCATCCTGACCAAGTTTGATGATGATTGAGGCAAAAATGTGACCGCTGGAGTGTTAACAAGGTTTTTCTATTTTTAGCTCCGGTGACCTACTTTTTCATCCGAGATGACCCATGTTCGAACTCATCCGAGCTATCACCTAGACAAACATCCTGACCAAGTTTGATTATGATTGAGGCAAAAATGTGACCTCTAGAGTGTTAACAACAAAATGTGAACGGACGGACGACGGACGAACGACGGACAATCATCGATCCTTAAAGCTCACCCTGAGCATGCTCAGGTGAGCTAAAAAATCATAATCAAGTATTTCTACAGCATGACTAAATGAGACATTGTCTCGTCTTGTTTCTAAAAATAGAAACAAGAGTACCTTTCTGCGTAGTTTCTCAAATCTCCTCCTGACCAAGAATCCTCGCACATTTTTCTGCATCACTACAGCTGCTTTGTGCATTTCTCTTTTAGATGGACCACTCTCTTTTGGATGATATATGCTGAAATATTTTATATAAATATTGTGTATGCCTGTAATTCTGTTTTCTGTATCACAGTTTAAGCATTTCATCTTCATGTACAATGTAATCTACAACCATGTACAGAGCACTCTCTCAATACAAATCAAATCATGTGGCCAATATTGTTTTTAATGCATGTAACTTAACAAATACATTCTTTCCAGTAATTCACCTAGTTTCCAAGACAAAAGTTGCTTATAAATTTTCTCTTTTTCACATAAATCCTGCAGATATAAGAAAAAGAAACCGTATCCAGGACAGAATGTCTTGATTGAATTGTCAGGAGAACAAATGTTACATAACATGACCTGCAATATCATGATTCAAGATTGTATAAAAGAGAAGGTATAAATTTGACCAATCCTGGATCCTCTCATTACATGTATCTCTAAATAAAATAACAACTTTTAGTATACCAAGGTCTAGTAGCATATTCATTCTTCTCTAAACTTTTCTTTATAATACATTAGACTGACTTGCATTGAAAAATGATAACCAGTACGGAATATACTTTAAACTTGAAAACAGTGTATAAATTGATGAAACTAAACTTTATATACAATATTTCTCACTTAAATAATCATCAACTATCAAATAGTGTTTTAAAAATATTTATAACTCATATTCATTTCATTGATTTCTATATTTTTACCCTCATTTCATGATAAAAGAATGACAAAAATAATCATAATTTACTCGTATATTTCCACATGAGGACCTATGACTTCAATCTTCGACTTTGCTTTCTGTTGATTGGCTAGCATTCTAGAGGTGAAAGGTTAATAAAGAGGTTATTGTATGACATTACAAAGAATAAAGCATGTGGCATGTGTTACAATAGAAAAATAATATACAGTACAAGATTTAATGATTGCAGTTTCTTCCCTAAATACACAAAGGTATTATATAATCATATACATGGTTTAGTGAAAGCAAGCATAGATAATTGTTTGTTAGGGGTAAACAGTTGATTAGAACTTGAATAATGTCAGATTCAACATAAATATATCTCATTATTTTATCTTTAAGTAAGTTAATTAAAAACCAACTTCTTGATAACAAAAGGATAGTACAGTGAAATAAAACAAGTAAATTTCATTAATGCAGCATATGTAAGTCTATATAATATGTATGAAATTGTGTTACTCTGAAGCTTACAAATTTTCACAATTACTAACACCTTCACTTTTAAATGCTTTACAGTATTCTGTAAGTAGTTTAAATTTTCAAATTTGTGAGAAGTAAATGTACTCACTCTTGTGCCATGGCATCTACTTTAACTTGTCTTTTTCCTTTGTATTCTACCTGAATCTTTTTAAAATCTTTAGCCCACTGTAGAAGTTGAGGGTCCAGTGGTGGTCTGTTGTAAATCTTAGCCTTCCTTCCCTGATGTTTCTTGTACTCCCTACACAAATATCAATAAATAGAAAACACTAATTGACAATGATATTCATGTTACTATTCATTTTATGGACTTATAAACAAAGACCAACTTTTTTTTGTTCACAAGATGAGTTTTGATTGCAGTTCCAATTTCAAATTCAAAATATAACATATCTTCCATTTGCAGAAAAACACCAATATACATTTCTTTCAGACACAAGCAGGCACTTTGTTTGAGCTATTGACTTGCATTGACTTTAAATCAATGTTGAAAGTTGGATTCAAACCCACATCTGGCAACCTTAAAGGCACATTATGCTTTAGAAATCAATATTTTTCTATTTCTTTAGAAAGGTTGAACATGTGTACAATGTTTTAGTTAAGTATGGATTAAAAGCAATTCAGATGTTAAACTACTGAAAAAAGAGAAGTGATGAGCATGCTGTAATGTATTATTAAGGTAGCAAAATGTAAACGAAGTAGTATTTTTGACTTGTATACAAATTTCTAAATTACTATACATTATTTAATTACCGGTATACAAACTGCCCAAGAGCAAAAGGAGCAAAAGATAAATAATCTATAATGGCCAATGAGTAACATATTGGAAACTGCAACAAGCTTAACGGACCTTTAATTCTGTCCACAAATTTGAATATCTCTATGACTTCAATTTTATGTAAACTTTCTATATTTCTCATTCTTATACTTATATTATATAACAACAACTTGCACTGGAATCTATATCAGCCGAGTACCAGAAATGGTAATAATTATTGAAGACAAATAACAGTTGTCTTGAACTTCAGTAAATTATCTATACAATATTTATAATCCACACCATGCACTTCTAGTGTGATATAGTGCATGTGATTAACATCTCAATCTTTCTACAGACACTATATATTGATTCCAGTTTCTGTACGTTAAATTTAGAGCTCTAAGTTTAATGACTGTATCACATACCTTTATTTGTACAAGTTACATCTTTTTTGCTCTAAATCCTAAATATCATTTGTATTTGATGAAGCAGAAACAGGTTTGGTGTTAAAAGCTTGAATATTTATCTCTACAAATACTTTTAATGAGTATGAATTGATATCATAAATTCAGATTATTGTATCTGGAATAAAAGTGGGGAGGAGTTTATGGACTAAGTAATCTTAAGCTTGATGAATGCATGTAAATGGCAATTTCTGCTTTGATGTTAAAACTTTTCATAGTTTTAATATAGAATTTAAAGTTAGAAATCCTTAAACTTGGCAACCAATTAGAATGTGGTCAAATTGCATAGATTGGTGACCTAACTTTGCTTTCTACTGTTGGTATAAGCCTGCCTTATTGCATGCAGAACTCTGATGGTAAAGTTACCTTTGACTTTCCTGTAAAGCTATCTGCTTGTCTTCCATATCTTTTCTATTATCCCACAACAACTTTCTATATGAGTTACGACACACATAACCTCGGAATATACGCTGTATATCTACAGCCGCCTTCGCCTCCTTTTGCTTCGTTACAGCCTCGGCAAACTCAACCTGAATGTGATTACCAAGATGTCAAACACTATAACACTTGCATAACATATTACAAATACATGATACTACTTTGTTGTGATGATCGTCATCTTTCAATTGGGACAAAACCACTAATTTGGGACAAAACCACTAATCACTTCTTGGAAAAATTTCCAAAATTTGTACTCACTGAATTATGAACAGTGCAGACCATGGTATGAGTGTTGTCCGATCTTGGTCTGGCACTGCTCCCATAGATTTATTCAGTTACCACTAGCAGACTACAGGTTGATATAAATACAGAATAACTAATTTGATCTGAATATAATCTTCGCCATAACCAAGAATAATTTACTAGACCCTAATGTTCACAAAGAAGACAAAATTGCAGACATAAGCGGATTTCCAATTATTTTAAATTAATATTTTACTTGGTTTAAATATCATAAAGATTCTTATGTTTCATCCCTTTTTGTCTAGACCAGAAAATATATATCCATTAATAACATTTATTTATTATAAATTATTATGTGAAATAATATATTGCCTTAAAAATAACATGTCTGAGATACTTGGGAAAAAACCCACTATAATTCTAGAGAAGTGCAATACTTAAACTTGATATAATTAATCATTTTTCAATTTTAATTTTCAAAAATATTAAAACTTCATTCATAAACATTCAGATAATATTTTTTAATTAAAAATTTTAAACTGTAAAACATTTATTTCACAACTATTTCCTTGTCAAGAGACAAAACAATCAAGTGCATAATAACAGATAATGGAAACAATTACAAAGGAAAGGAACGTTTCCATGCAATATAATTTTAGATTTAATGTCACTAAAGTTCAGCATATTTTAACCGATTTTCTTTCATGTTAGAATGGAAAAAAATAACAACTTTTCTTGTGATATACTTGTAGTAAAATTAAATGTAAGCTTATATAGCTTAACTTGTGTTGTGTTGTAGACTATTTTTCATGTGCATACAGCTTTTCTTGTGTTGTAGTATAATAATATATGGTTGTACAGATTTTCTTGTGTTGTAGTACAATAATGCATGGCTATACAATGTTTCTTGTGTTGTAGTACAATTATGCATTGTGATACAATGTTACTTGTGTTGTAGTACAATAATGCATTGCTATACAATGTTCTTTGTGTTGTAGTACAATAATGCATTGCTATACAATGTTTCTTGTGTTGCAGTACAATCATGCATTGCTATACAATGTTCTTTGTGTTGTAGTACAATGTTGTAGTACAATAATGCATGGTTATAGTTTTTCTTGTGTTGTAGTACAATAATGCATGGTTATAGTTTTCTTGTGTTGTAGTACAATAATGCATGGTTATAGTTTTTCTTGTGTTGTAGTACAATAATGCATGGTTATAGTTTTTCTTGTGTTGTAGTACAATAATGCATGGTTATAGTTTTTCTTGTGTTGTAGTACAATAATGCATGGTTATAGTTTTTCTTGTGTTGTAGTACAATATGTAGTACAATAATGCATGGTTATAGTTTTTCTTGTGTTGTAGTACAATAATGCATTGTTTTAGTTTTTCTTGTGTTGCAGTACAATAATGCATGGTTATACAGCTTCATTGATAACAAACAACTTACAGGATCAGGTATGCGTGACACCTGGGGTATAGGTCTACCTATATGAGCTAATGACTGCTGGCTGAGGTCAGTTTTTCCTCTGACTAACACAAAAGGTCTAGCATATATAACTTCAGGTGTATCAGTGTCAGTACTTCCATCATCCATACCTGCCTCCTCTATATGTGCTGGTAATGTTCCTAATGTATCTGTTATATCAAAATTAAATTTACTTCCACCTTCTTTTTTTACAAGCTATATAAAAAACATTATAAAACCAATTCTGTTTATACAATTGACAACTATAAATCTTTTTATACAATAAAAATTCTACAATAGCTGTTTACAAATTTTTCTTGACAATTTGTATAAACATTTTGTTTTACACTATCAGGAACCTTAAACAATCAGACACTAAGGCTATTGCATAAATTTGGAAAATTAAAATGCTTCAATTCAAACAAATTACAACAAAAGTTAAATACTGGAGGAGCAACACATTGATGTAATTTACTGGTCATGTTCAAAGAGATCTGACAAGAGTTGATCATATAAACACAATACCTACCATTGTTTCTCTGTGAATGTACGGTTGGTGCAGTGTGAGCTCGGGATGGTGTACGTAGACTGACAATCGACAGTGAATCATTAATACCATTAGAATCAGGACATGACCCAGGAGGAGCTGACCTACAGTTGTCCTTCCTCAACTCAACAACTAGAAATAGGTATAAATAATACATATTATACACTATAGTGATTGTTAAGTTATATATCTATAGGCAGGAGAAATGTTTCTATCAAAAGTTTTTATAATAAAACTGAAGAAAAACCATAAAGGCATGAAATATAACTCTTCAGTATTAATAAAGAATAAATAATAATCAACTGTGTCAATGTGATATATAAGGACACATTTAAATCAAATTAAAATCTCAATGATCTAATAAATTTTCAGTATTTTCAGAAATGACAAAAAATACATTTAATTAAAAAAACACATGACTTTAGTGAAAATTTCAAGCATTCAAATGCTAGCTAAAATGACTCCAAGACATGCATTTTAAAATTAATATAATACAGTCTTAATGCAGAAAACATCTCAGGTTATATGGCAATACTTAATTGAGAAGCCAATTTTCATTCTATCTTTTTTTTCATTTGAAAAACCCAAAAAGCTAGCACTGAGCAAACCATTCTATTACCTTCTGTGAAACTCTCTAAAGTAAAAGAAATATGCACTACTATTAATGTAATATGTTATTTTTCTTTCACTCATTAAATGTATTACTTTCTAGACAAGCAAATCTTACTTAAACAAGGTATGTTCATTATCTATAACCAGCAACCTTATCCCAAGGAGGAATAAGTTACAAGGTATGTTTATGCTGAAATTACTAAAATTTGAATATTTGACCTTGAAAGTCAAGTAAATTTAGGTCAAGGTCATATTTAAAAGGTAAAACAAAGTGCATGTCTAGAGGGTAATTATGTCCATCTGTTCAAAAATAATTTCCTTCATTTTGAAAAATTTCCATTGATGGTGGAGGTCATTGATAAGTCAATATTTAATTTCAACATATCAATTAAAGTACATGTAAGTTTAACATCAAGTCCAGAAGTGCTTTATAAGTACCTCAAGATTTAAAAATACTAATCAGAAAATGCCATATCTAAGAAACAAGTTTTGTCCAATAAAACATAAATCACATCACTCTTCTAAACTATTTTGCAGATATTAACCATCATGTGAATGTTTTAAGTTGTTATGGTCTATATATTTCATATTTATCAACACTTAACTTAAATACTAAATTTCATTACTTCAGTTTATTTTTTGAATCAGCATATTCTACCACTAGGCAGTTAACATGACCTAGATTTCCTAGACACTGGACAAGTACACTCCCTGTTTGTCCTAAAAGCTAGTGTGAACTTTACCAAATATATCACTCTAATTCATGACAGTTTCTTATCATGAAGTTGCTAACTACTTCACATAAATTACCTTTAAGTAACTTTAAGAGACAATTACTTTCCCACTTCTCGGACATACATCCATAAAATATAAGCAAGTAAATGGTCCATGTCACATATTTCTACAGCCCAATGTTTGTTGAAGAAATATGTTACCCAAGTAGGGGGGGGGGGGGGATTTTAACTTTAAGTTACATAGTTAATCATTAATACAATGCTCACTCTAATGAATTAACTGGTTTAGATTACAACTAAAGAAACAATAATTCAAGCTACTGATTTTTTTTTCTATTATCATCAATATCAAGTAATTCTGTTAAAAAATCAGCACTTAAAAATAAGGTAATGGCTCCCTTCGCATAGTAATATAATCACCAACTGAAACCCAATAGTTCTGGAAGAAATTATACCACCTTAAAGAAATATAACTTTTAATTGTAGCAAATGCACTTCCAAGAGAATTAACACAGCCAGAATCTATGCTATAGATCATTTTTAGATTTTATAAACAATTTTGATATATCATTACAGAAAATCTACAGAAATTAAAAAAAGTTACTGGGTACTTTTTACATCATGTTGAAACTTGAATTTGATCAGTTTTCACAAATCAAAAATAGTACATTCAGTCATGTATTAACGCTAAATTTTGTCCATTCATAAGATAACCCCATTTTAAGCATGCATAATAATCATTTAGTTACTGATGTTACTGGTTTTGTTACTGATTACTGAGCAAATGAATTAAGTTAAAATAAGAAGCTGTTAATTAATTCCTTAAACCTTACATATCACATACTTAACAAGGTGCCTCGTTGAGTGAAAATATACTCGGGCAAACTGGAAGCAAGCCTTTCCTCTGTTTCAACTTCTAAAATATTTCATTCTTTTCAAGTCAGTGATTTTTACAGACATGAATAATATAGAACACATTTTTAGACTTTAATGAACACTCTTCTACCAAGCTGTCACATCATGGTATTAAAATATATGTGTTGTATCATTATAAAATAACTGCAAACACTGTACTTTGATATTGAGAAATATTTTACAACGGAATTTTTCATTGTTATTATTGATTCTTCACTTTACCTCCAGGAAAAGAAAAAATTGTCATCATCATTTATTTGGTTTAAACATATTTATTTATGCTCGATTGCAAAACAAGTTCTTACAACTTATATTAATCACTTTAGAGTCCGCTTCCTGGAACCAACCAGTACTGGTGTCATATGAAGAAACATGGTCGTGACCCTGAGTAGGGCTCAAAACCATGATCTCTGGGACAAGAGGTAGACAAAATTTAAAGAACAAGCATATTTAACCTGTTTAATATTTTCAATTACCCTTCAACATAAAACTTCCCAATGTGGAGACTCTTCTTCAAAATCATGATTGGCATTCTATTACTTTTATTTCCTTCTAATTTTTTTTTAATTTTAATTTCTTCTAATTTTCCCAATGAATTTCTGTAATAACCCTTGTCCATCCTTGAATCTAAAACTGTCTATTGTTTGTTTAAAATATCTAAAAAATCAAAACTAAAATTAGAATGTATTTAGACTGTACACACCCCTTTGTCTCTACATGGGAGCCACATGCCTATCATTATAACAGGTTATATTTGGTTTCAGGGTGAAAATTTAAATTGAATTTCTGGTAATGAACTCTCCTGTCACCAACATAAAACAATATTTGAGCCGCGTCACGACAAAACCAACATAATGGGTTTGCGACCAGCATGGATCCAGACCAGCCTGTGCATCCGCGCAGTCTGATCACGACCCATGCTGTTTGCTTATAGACCCTATAACAAGTAAAGGAACTGATAGCAAACAGCATGGATCCTGATCAGACTGCACGGATGTGCAGGCTGGTCTGGATCCATGCTGGTCGCAAACCCATTACGTTGTTTTGTCGTGACGCGGCTCATTTATATAAAACAAACAGATTCTGTCTATTATACAGTGTAAAACACATAGAACAAATATACACTAACAATGTAAACTGTGCTAGCAAACAATCACTGACTCTTGTTTGAGTAAAACGTAACAGTTCCATGAAATATAACATATATTGCAACATTTACCCACAGAGCTGCTATCAATTAAAAAGTTTTATGGTTTTTTAAGCCAAATTTTAATGATCAGGAGTTTTTTTTTTAGTTTTTTTGTGTTTTTTTTTCCATTATCACTTTTTTTTGTCGTTATTTTTTAATTCTAGAATACAATTTTGGTTTTTACACTTTATAACTAAATATACTTTTTATTTCTAATTTCAGTATTTAATATAGAAAAAATATCTTAACAATATCATTTTTTTTTTGAAATGTTAACAAAAACAATCATATATGATTATTATGTCATAATTTCAGTACAAAATGATATTAATCTGAGGTTGAAAATAGTGTTTACTGGCTGAGATAAAACTTGATAAATAATAAAAGCTCTGACCCGTTACTTACGTGTTATACCCTTAACTAATCTCCCACTTTCTAAATAATTTGAATACACAAATATTCAGTACAAAAGAATAACAATTCTGAGCGCTAAATTTATAATTATTCAGTATCAAAGTTGGATTCTTTCAATTAAAATAATTATTCTTTCTCCTTAGAATAACTTGTATCATAAGAAAAGTTATATTTATTTTATTCAATTTACCACTGAATGTTTCCAAGTTTGTAAGCGACACTGTGTATTACAGAGGACAAACTGTTCCTGGATTTAGAACCAGTACTGACTAAAACAATTTAAAACAAATATATATCTACTAGAAATAGGGCAATTAAATTTAATGCTAATGTATTAATACTGGTAATGCATTACTTAAGTAATGCAAGGTAATGATTAATGCAACATATTTAGCATTATTTTAATACTAATTCAATTCATTACCTTTGCCAAAATTCTGTTAATGCATAGCATTATTTGGCATTACTTTGAAGTAATTCATTTACCTTTGCAGTCATAAACGATTATTAATTAGACTTAGGACATAATTAATCAGCAGTATATATTTTACAATTAAGCTAATATTGACTTTTTAAAAATATAATGAATTATTACACAAATGTACTTAGAACAGACCAACTTATGGTGCAAAGCAACATTTCCAATACCATACCGAGGGAGGCTTTACACAAATGAACTAAAAATGTGTCTGTCAAACAAAAACTCTGCCCTAACATAACAACAAGCCTAACAAAACTAAACACCACTTTACCTGGACGAGACTTTCTTGGGCTTTCTATTAGGAAAAAATGTTTTGTGATAAGTTTTATTTCTTTTATGTTGCAATGTACAAAATAGTTATGCATATACATATAGTGAGGAACATTTACTACATTATAATCTGAATATAACATAGACATCAAATATTCATTATACCTTAAAACTTAAAAACTTCAACAATATATCACTGAGTGATATACATATTATTAATAGTATTTATAATGTAATTTGTACAATAGCTAAAAATAAACAAGAGGGCCATGATGGCCCTGAAATCGCTCGCCTGTATATAGGCCCCCGGGGCGGGCCCAACTTTAACCCCAAGGGCTTTCATTTGAACAAACTTGGTAGACACCCATTAGCAGATGTTTCATGATAAATATCTAACCTCTAGCTCTTTGGGATTTTTAAAAGAAGATTTTTTTTAAGTTTTTACTATACACATACAAGGAAAATCAAAGATCCCTGGGGCTGGCCAATTTTAACCCTAGGGCCCGTATTTGAACGAACTTGGTAGACGCCCATTAGAAGATGTTTCATGCTAAATACCTTAGCTCTAGCTCTTTGGGTTTTTCAAATGAAGACTTTTTAAGTTTTTACTATATACATAAGGCCTAAAAAAAAAATGTTGTGTTTCCGGTGGCCCGACCGACCCTATTTTTTAGCGCCGACCCAAAGTTTTTTATCGATGTACAAAAAAAAAAAAAAAATGGCGCCCGTACCGACCGTACCGAAGACGGGTTTTAGTATTGCGAGTCGACAACGATGTGAGGCACATACGATTCGTGTTCCAATTACATATTAACGCGCACCGGCTAATATGGCGGCACAACAAGCAGCCGAAGTGTCACTGCTGGCGATTTTCTTTAAAAATACGATCATAGTTTGGCAAAACAGGAAATCAAATTAATAGACCACAGCAAAACAGCTCAAAACATTTTTCGGACGTGCATGGTCATGTTAAGAGTGATTATATTAAAATTGAAGCCAGTTGTTCGGTAAGAATAAAAAAAATGAAAACGAAAGTCGAGTCATGCCATTGGTAAAATTTATTTCAAAATATAAGATTGAAGACTAGGTTTGGTAGTCTAACAGTTTTAAGTACTTTTATATGCTATAGAATATAATTTAAAGTCCATATAATCCGTATCTGACATATCTACAATCGTTGATTGACTAAAAAAAAATAAAATAAAATAAAAGTCCAACCTACCGACCCCACTTTTTTTCGCCTCGCCACCAGAAACACATCAATTTTTTTTTTAGGCCTAAATGGGAAAAACAATAACCCCAGGCAGGGGACAATTTTGACCCCAGGGCTTTTATTTGAACAAACTTGGTAGACACCCACTAAAAGATGTTTCATGATTTATATCTAAGCCTTAGCTATTTGGGTTTTTTTAAAAGAAGATTTTTAAAAGTTTTTACTAAATACAAATAAGGAAAATCAATGACCCCCAGGGGCAGGGCCAATTTTGACCCAGGGCTTTTATCTGAACCAACTTGGTAGACAATGTTTCATGCCAAAGATTTAAGTTCTAGCTCTAACGGTTTTTTAAAAGAAGATTGTTTAAGTATTTTCTTTTGGTTGCCATGGCAACCAGATTCTGCATAGAATTAAATTCTTTGAACAATTTTTAAGGTTGACTACCAAAGGAACATTCCTGTGAAGTTTGGATGAAATTTGCTCAGTGGTTTATGAGGAGATGTCGTTTAAAGTAAAAGTTTACGGACAGACAGATGACGGATGGACCCTGGACGAAAAGCAATCACAAAAGCTCACCATGTCACTTTTTTGACAGGTAAGCTAATAAAAGGTAAACAATTTATCAAGGGTCTTTATAAATATATAAATATATAGAAATATAAAATCAGCTAGAATAGTGGCTGTAAAAGAAGCATATGTTGTACAGTCTTTTATAAATATCAGATATTATTTTACACAAACATGGGTTCTAAAACATGAGTTAATCTCAAAAATATAACACAATATTATGACAAATGTTTATCTCAAAAGAAACATTGTATAATATAACACAATATAACGAAAAATGTTTATCAAAATCTTCTCCTGAAGTATCTAATTCTGCAAATGTAGAATGTCATAAATCTGTAACATCTAACCCTGAATATTCCTGAGATAAGCTATTTTGTTTTTTTAGACCACTTGTTATATAATATTGTCATAAATATTCATTAATAAAGTCTGCACATCAAATATAAACTGCATTAAAGGCAATTAAAATCAATATAACATCACAGGTTATAGTCTGTTTATTATCAACAAAAATAGAAAATGTTATGTAAATGTAAAACAGCTCAAAGACACTCCAATTCTTATCCATTAGATCCTTAATCTGCTTGAAGCTGAAACTGTAAACACCAAGTTGCCATGGTAACATTATTATGAATTATTCATAGAAATTGTGGAAAACAACAACAAGGCTTACAAAAGACATTAATATCAGTTTATTTTATTTCCATTCTTTTTAAAAATACTAAAATATTACGAGATATCTAAATCCATCTCTTCATATTCTTGGATATAAACATGTCTCATGTTGTGAAAGAATATATTTATTTCAGTACTTTATGCATTATATTTTGATATTTCAAAGAAATAAATAATAACAATGAATAATATATCAAAATGAATGTATAATATGTACCTATTATTCAAACTGTACATAACTATTAATATTCACACAAGCAGTTCAATATTATGTCTTATAAACAAGAGCATGACTCTAAAATATTATCCTTTAAATATTGTTTAAGAATTTCGTATAACCAACAAGGAGAAATGTCCTATATAAGTGTTATCAGAGAGACCTGTTTTTATAAATAATGTTTTATTTTACAGTATCTGCTACTTCTGATCGACTCATATGATCTTGCATCATTGTGCAACTTAAAAACTCCATAACAGTTTTAATTTTACAATTTACAGTAAACTCCACTTATAACGATAGTCTTATAACATGACAATAATTCATAACAATGTACCACTTATTAATGATGCTGTTACTGTGGTCCCTACTCTTGTTTTCAAATGGGTTGCCTCTCTTATACAAGGATATCTGGATATAATGATATAAATTCTGCCGTCACCTGAACATCGTTATAATTACCCGGAGTTTACTGTACATAGCTGTTTTTTAACTCATCTTACAAAACAACATGGTATCAACTAGTGAGTATAAAAGTGTGAAAAGAGGTTGAGGAAAAGGGGAAAAAAGTAAGTATAAAAGTATGAAAAGAGGTCAGGGAAGAGGGGAAAAATTAAAGGTTAAAAAACAATGGAGAACTAACCTTGTTCCATGAAATGTCTGGGACTGTTAACTTTCCTAGCATGATGTTCCAGCTCAGTACTATACTGCTGACCATGTCTAGGTGACCGTGCTGAATGCATGTGATGTGAACTTGGTATAGACGGTGGAGTCCTCACAGGTGGTGCTTTCTTGAAATACTCGTTCTGTCTTCGAGCCATTCTCAAAACCTGACCAGCAGGACTTTGGACTGCTCCAGGCATTCGCCCGGCTGAGCGGCCAACCTTGGTACTCATATTGTCAGGAATACAATTGAAACAATAATTTTCTGGTCTCACGATAGATTTTGCAGAACTTATTTGTCTTGGTATGTCATGTCTAGGGGAGTGGTTTTGATGATGATGGTCACTATGTGGAATATTTAAATCAGTATCTTTATTATTACCGGTATCAGTTATATCTTGTTCTGTCTGAGGTTGGAAATGCCACGTTTCTGATTCAGTTAATGCCTCTACAGCTCCCACACCAGGTGGCGTACGTGGTCTACCTACTGCTGGCACTGCTGTCACTTCTATATGAACATCTCCGTCAGCCTTACTCTCAACAACAACTTCTCTTCCTGGCTCAACAGACTTCTTTGGTATTTCTGTGACCTTGACCTCAGTCACACCAGCTGACGCAAACTGATCTTCAGCTTTGCTATCTGATTCAGATCGTTCCTCTGACCTTGACCCTGTTTCTATGGCCTTCACCTCATGTTCAGGTAAATCACCATTGATACCAACAGGTTCTTGTAATGTTTGAGGAGAAACTTGATCTTTGTTTTCTATGTCCTCATTATCCTAAAATTACAGTATGTTAATATGTCAATTACTGTTAATCTCTTAATACCTGTATAATCTTTTAATACTGTTATAAGTAAGAGTAAATGCAGATTATAACTGTTATGTCTATGCGTATAACTGACTGAAACATTTAACAAGGTAAGTCAAATAAATCTCTATTAATTAAATATTATGGTGCAGCACTGATTATAAAGTAATACAAAATTATCATAAGTAATACACTGGCACCAAGTTAGAATGCTCTTTTGGAGGTCCAAGGTCTCAACCCACAATATAAATAGGGTTCTGATGTATTACACACCTTACTCAGTTCATATTTAGTATTTGCAGGTCAAAGCTTCAAATTTGAGATTGTCATAACTGTCTGATACTTGATTAATTAGCAACAAAATGAATGGACTAATGCCAAGTTGTGTATGTTTTTTACACCTTTTGCTCCCTCAAATGTCCTAATTACTTTTGTTTGTTACAGCACATTTTAGATATGTAAGTACTTGTTTTATGGTCATGAAAAGTATGATTTTTTTGGGTGCTAAGACCCATGAGTATTATAAGACATTATATTGATGTAAGCGTTATCACAGGACACTGGCAGCTATATTGACACGCTGAATTATGCCAACAGCAATGTATGGCTGTTCAGTCAATAATGTAAGTTTCTCAATTTGAAGTATTCTCTGAGTGATAACAATACATCATCAGTGAGCAAAAACGTAAAAGTGAATGAATACACTACTGGAAGCTTGGTTGTTCGTTTTGTTGGGATTTTCAGTCACACAAATACTTTTTAAAGCTAATAAGGCAACATTTCTGCTTTAATAGTTGAGGAAGACTTCATGTGCTCCTCTGTGTATTATTTCAAACACAAGCAAGCATCTGAGTAGAACCACTGACATTAAATAAGCTAGCTGGATAGCTTCCTCACATGAAGCAATCCAAAGTCCATGGCAGGATTTGAACCCACAGCCTTGAGAAGCAAGTGATTCAAAGTCATGAGGCTTAACCACTATGCTATGGACCCAACACTAATGGAAGAGAAACATGGCTTACATGTTGAGCAAGTTGTAAAGGTTCCACACCAACTGTGCTGTCGTCGTATTGTACCTCTTCTCCCTTTTCACTTAACTCCTCTGGTATTCTAAATGTAAAATATTAATTAACTCAATGAATGCTAGTGGTGTTACTGACAGACATCATCAACTAGTTTAGAGCCAGACACCGAGACAACATATCCCTAAAATCTGACCATACTTTATACTAGTCATTACCTTTAATTTCATAACTTTATAATGAAGCTTCAAAAAGAGCTCAAGACCATAAAATATATCTAGCAGGTTCAATGATTAGCTTGTCAAATTAAGGGGAGCTGTGGGTGTCTGCCACTCAACCCAGGGATTATGGGTTCGAGCCCTACTTGGGTCACTACCATGCTTCTTTATAAGACACCAGTACTGATAGGTTCCAGAAAGCGGACTCAAAAATGATTAATATAAGTTGCAAGAACTTGTTTTTAACAAAATAATTATAAATAATGATTTATTTCTCATGACTATTTCACAGTTTAAGATACAATATACAGGTTTTTTCTTTATTGTTTATGCAAACAAAATTAAAACAATCTTATCTAATTATGATTAAAATTGTTTCTGTATTTAGTAACAGCAGCAAATCAAGATAATGTTTTTGTAGTCTTAAATGAGATTTAAATATAGTAAATTAATACACTCCTTGGTCAAAAAATAATTAATTAATTTCCATATATACTCACTGATTTATAAAATCAGGTTTCCTCACACTTTGTTTACTGTATGATCTGGCATCTGAAAATAGACAAGGTCAAGTATTTTCTGCAATTTTAATCATCTTAACTAATTAACTTGTCTATCTAGCAAAAATAGATTCATCCATTTCAGCCATCTTTCTTCAATGTAAAAAATGATTCAGCAAGAGTTAACTTGGACATATTGGCTTCCCTTAAATATGTGAAATCATTTCTAATACTCAACTATTTCTATTATGACAATGCAATTTACATCAATTCAGATTGCCTTGTTTAACTGGTCACATATTAACATTAATGGACAGCCTTTATACTAAGGCAAGTTCTTTTTTCCTTTTTCAACTAGAACAAAAACATAAGTACACAAACACACCAATCACTTCAAAATAGCTGACTCCAAATTTAAACCTAAGAGATTTAAATGGACCAAATTTTTCTTTCACTAAGGGCAGTCTATATTTCTTAATATCCAGTATAATTGCTTTGCTAACAAACAACTTTATTGCAGATTTATTTCTATAAATCTTAATGTCAGTAACTGTTTGGTATTATATAAACGTCAAGTGGTCTGCAAACATATAAGATTATCTTAGAACAATATAATAATCTTTTTATTTGCAGACACTGAACACAGTATATCAATGTCTGGCACAATAACACCAGAAAAATAGAGGCCTACTTTTGTTTCCATACATCATGGCAATTATGATGTTACAATTAATAATTTTAACACTCAAATAACACCTACGCATATAGTAACTTTTAATGGTCAGTTGTAGTCAATGTGGACCACAAGGCATCTCTTTCAACCTCCTGTATTCATTTGATGTTTTTATTATATGTCTGGTTAGGTACAGTGTCAAATTTAAATAATGCCAAGTAGATCATGTCAGGTAGATTATGTTATCATCAGGTAGATCATATCATGAAGATCATGTAAGGTAGATCATGTCAATGTCAGGTAGATCATGTCAATGTCAGGTTTATCGTGTTAATGTTAGGTAGATGTCAGGTAGATCATGTCAATGTCAGGTAGATTATGTCAGGTAGAGCATGTAAATGTCAGGTAAATCATGTCAATGTCAGGCAGATCATGTCAATGTAAGGTAGATCATGTCGATGTCAGGTGGATCATGTCAATGTCAGGTAGATTGTGTCAATGTCAGGTAGATTGTGTCAATGTCAGATAGATCATGTCAATGCCAGGTAGATCATGTCAGGTAGATCATGTCAATGCCAGTAGATCATGTCAATGCCAGGTAGATCATATCAATGCCAGGTAGATCATGTCAATGACAGGTATATCATGTCAATGTCAGGTAGATCATGTCAATGTCAGGTAGATCATGTCAATGTCAGGTAGATCATGTCAGGTAGATCATGTCAATGTCAGGTAGATTGTGTCAATGTCAGGTAGATTGTGTCAATGTCAGGCAGATCATGTCGATGTCAGGTAGATCATGTCAATGTCAGGTAGATCCTGTCAATGTCAGGTGGATCATGTCAATGTCAGGTAGATCATGTAAGGTAGATCATGTCAATGTCAGGTAGATTGTGTCAATGTCAGGCAGATCATGTCAATGTCAGGTAGATCATGTAAGGTAGATCATGTCAATGTCAGGTAGATTGTGTCAATGTCAGGCAGATCATGTCAATGTCAGGTAGATCATGTAAGGTAGATCATGTCAATGCCAGGTAGATTGTATCAGGTAGATCGTGTCAATGTCAGGCAGATCATGTCAATGTAAGGTAGATCATGTCAATGTCAGGTAGATCTTGTCAGGTACGTCATGTCAATGTAAGGTAGATCATGTCAGGTAGACCATGTAAGGTAGATCCTGTCAATGTCAGCTAAATCTTGTCAGGAAGGTAGATCATGTAAGGTAGATCATGTCAAAGTCAGGTAAATCATGTCAATGTCAGGTAGATGATCATGTCAGGTAAATCAGGTCAGGTAGATCATGTTACGTAGATCATGTCAGGTAAATCATATCAAAGTCAGGTAAATCATGTCAATGTCAGGTAGATCATGTCAGGTAAAAGTAAATGGGTAAATATCAGTATGAGCCTGAATTTCAAGGACCAGCTACTCATTTCTCAATATGAATCACTTAAACCAGTGAAGAAGAATGTTCCAAATCAATGTTTTGTTCAAAACAATGCCAAAAATAACATATGCTATGAAGACTATTAATAATACACAATTCTGAAGTCCATAGACTTATGAAGCAAACCTTGTAGGCTATGCAATAATGTGAGTAAAGGACCTAACGTTTTAACCTTCATCAGGCAATATCTAATAACTGTAAAATTTAATTTAAAAAACTTGTTGAAAAATCTTAAAACATTTTCATCAAAATGACTCAATAAGAAAGAGATCATTTTGAAATTTCAGTCATACTTGTATTAGAAATAAGATGCTAAGATGAAATTAATAAAAAGAAAATAAACATTGCATTGAAATAATTTAAATTTCTGGAGACATCAGATATCAATTTGAGATATCACCTAGGAGATAGAAACAGCTCATCAAAATATGTGCCATTAATTTCCTATCAAAACATGACCAAGAATCAAACTTGTAGATTAAATTTCAATTTTCATGTTCACATCAGTCACCTGAATGATTCTCGTCTAATTTTCCCTAAAATTAAAGCTAGGGAATATTTCATCTGAAATCATATTTCTTAAAGCAGATATTTTATAGAATGATAATATTTCAAAAAGTTTGTTCCATTTATTTTCCAATTTTACAGGGATTTTATGAAACACTTAATAACATAATAATTTAATCTGTTAACTGACATTAAAACCTGTTTCCTTCATATATCAAAGCTTTCGTTTTTGCATTTTCTTCTTACATGTATAAAAACTAACAAATATTGTGCATTTATATACTTAACTAGTAATTTGAAATAATTTCATCATTATTACTTACATCTAAATACAATAAACAAATCCTATATTATCACGTAATAAGTAACCTAATGCTCCAAGAAAAATAAATATTTTCAAAAATATTTTTGCACTGAACGTTTGAATTGAAATGACAAATTCTAAATCATTAAAAGTCAATGTTAATATTTGACAGAAGTTATATAGAGGTATGTTTTAACATGTACATGACTTTACAGAGATTAATCATTTTTGTATATATTTGAACAAGCATATATTTCCACTTATACCATCTCAAAACACTCAAAGATAAAACAAGCATGACCAAACCCCTCTATACCATATTGTAAATTCCCAAACCTAAAATCAAACTAAGGTTAATACGGTTTACTACTTGAGCTGTGTCACATTCATTTCATATAAATATCACCCACTTATAGCAGGTTCTTGTTTCCCTCAACTGGCATTATTTACAGCCCAGGAAGTCAGATATGTTAGGTTTTTATTGGACAGATTACAGGGCACTTCAAGTAAAATATCTCCTAAATTTTTGGAAAATGTTTGAAAAGTTAGAAAGTTTACAAAATTTATTGCTTCATCACATTTTTATCTGGTTTTTGACACACTTTCACTATGGCATACAGGGTCTCATACATTATGACAAATTTACAATATGAGGACAACTTTACACTGGCATAAAGCTATCAATAATACTGATGGGCAAAGCGCTAAGTTGACAAACAACTTCAAGTGCTTGCAATTTAAAAAGTTTTTACAATTTGAAAGAATATTTCTTTAAAATTCTCTGTGCAAAAACTGTCCATATTATAACACCTGTCAATAAAATAAATTCAATTTCATACTGACAACCTATATTACATAATTATCTAACAAAATGATAGAAATACCTGTAAAGTCGGGTCAGTATCCATCAACAATCATATGAATAATGCATGAAGACCAATGTTATAACACCCTTAGTTAAGGCCATTATTAAATTACTATTGTTTTCCTGTGTTACCAACACCATAAAAAATCCTTTATTTAATTTGTTTATTTCTTTTCAGACATTATCAAAGCAGATTATATATGTATACACTTTTCAAGGGGCATTATACCATGAAAAGAAGCATTTATCTATAATTAACCATATCCTATTACATGAAGCAGGGTTGAGGGACCGTTAACAAATATTTATTTCAAAAGTTGAAAGTCAAAGTACAATATCTTGTAATAAACATTTAATCCCCCTTCATAGCTAATCTGCACTGGTAATCCCATATATATATAGAACAAAGTCTGATAGATTTCTCGAGGACCTTATTATAACAAATGTCTAAATCCCCGACAGTATTAGAGTACAACTGAAAATTAATTAAATTTGTAAGTCTTTAATCCCAAAACATAAATAGATTGTATATTATACAATATTTAACTTACTTATCCAATTAGAATGAAAAGAGTTTTGTCTATCTGTAAAAAATTTATATCCAAACAAGATAATGTACAAACATTAAACTTTAAGCCACAATACGAACTTTTGTTTACCTTACATTGTAGATTGATATATTGATACTTTTATAAGACACAATTAGTGTAGAGTTGGGACCATTAGTAATAAAGACTTCATATAATAATATCATTGATTCTGTTCTGTCAACTACAGCTGTATTTTTCTCATTTATTTGAACAATAAAAATAACATAAAATACGAGTGGTGCCAAGCACTGAACTTCAACTCAACAGCTGATGTTGAACTGCTTCTAGTCTTGTTTTTCAGATTTGCAACAAAATGTATATGACAAAGCAAAATAAAATGCATTTTCTTAATATATTTAGAAATATTGAAGTTGACACTGGGGTAGAACAGTTACAGCATACTTCATATATTCAAGCTAAAAATCTATTTAATAGGTGGATAAAATCTGTGAATTTCAAACTTTTACATATTTTTTTTTAAAGCAACAATAATAATTCAGTAGATATTTCTTTATTAATTGAGATTTTACTCACCTATTGGAGATTGTCTTGGTGTTTTTGGAGCAACAAATGACAAGTATTCTTTACTTTGTGAAGCAGACGTCAGGTGACTCATGGATGTGCCCGTTGAATACCGGGAATTCATTGAACGTAGAAAATCTTCATCCAAGAATAGTGATCCCATGGAGCCATACCTACAACATAATGAATGGAACTTCCTTCAATATTTCATGACAACCTTGCAAAGCCTTTTCAATCTTTGCTTGTCCTAAATTCAGTTTGAGTTTTTAGTCCCTGTAGTATTCATTTAGCTTGAATATATACACAATCACAGTGGCTATAAAGTCATTCTTATTAAATGAGTTCAAAGCCTGAAAAGGACATTGAATTTTTAAATGAGCTATAAAACTACCTTTATGACATTAAGTTATACTGCCCTAATGCCAGACTACATCTTAAATCATGTAAGCTAATCCTGACATCAGAAGAGCTGCAGATCATAGTATTTGTGTGACTTAAAACAAAATAACTTACAAACTAACTTTCAGACATTAATACTCAGCCATATTCACATAAAATGAAAGACAAATGCTACTACTATTTTGTCTGAAATCCTGCCAAATTACTTTCCATAAACTTCAACTAGCAGGGAAAAACTCCTAAATTCCAATGTAAAGACAAACAATTTTCTCAAAACATTTGTTGAATTTCTTTCTATCTTTATATGGTTTATTTGGTAAACATAGCAGTTTTCTCAGTAATTAAACAAGTGAAATTTTGAGACTGGAATTAAACACTGTCCACTACATATATCAGTGATCAAATATTTTGACACTGCTTCTTAGGAACCTGATGCTGAAAACATTAACGGTACCTGAATGAGATATGGCAAAGCACTATCTTTTGCTGTGTTAAAACAATGCAAACATGTATAGCAGAAGTCTGTAGATAAAATAGAGACACAAAAGTCTTAGAGAATCTTCATTAACATTTAACATGCAAGGGTGCATGGCCATTTGGCCTGTTTGTGTTTGGTGACTGTGAAAACCCAGATAACTAATCTCAGTGGAATCATGACAGATGAACTTACCTAGAATCACTGCTACCTAGTAGATGTTGTATGCTCATTATTCTGTCCATATCTTGGTCATCTACCTGAGTCATTGTGTTACTAGCTGCCTGGGATGATACTCTCTCATTCTTCTCACATTCCTGATAACATATATACATGTACATAGAAATAAACATATAATTATACATAGAAATATATATATAACACTGCATGTTTGTAATGTCACCTTTCATTCGATTATCATGACGTTTATATAGTTTCATATACTCAGCTGCTGTCAATTTATGAGGAAATCCCACTTTTTTATCTAAGTAGAAATTTTGCTATATTACCAATTTGTTAAAAATATTCCTGACAGGTTATATGACTGTATATATAGAGGATATTGAATGAGTGTAGTTTAATACTAAATTTATTGAACGAGTTGAATAAATCATATTATGCGAGCCTCTGGCGAGCATAATATTGTTTTATTCAACAAGTTCAATAAATTTAGTATTGAATCTACACGAATATAATATTCTATTTATCATATATACAAAATAAGAACAGTAAACTGTTAAAATGAGTATTTTTTCAATGACGCGCCCGTAGTGTAACGCTTACATCAGCGCGCTTTAAAGCTATGTTTCTATATAGCGCAAATGAAGTCACGTCAAAGTGTTATTACACTAGTGTAATATCGTTTTTATTAAATGGCTTTATTACACTCCTGCGCCGCGGTTTATGTGATAAAAATGGTTATGTAACAGCTCTGGTTATATTTCCAAAGAAACATTTATATAGGGCCATAATTATAACTTGTCAAAAAATCTTTATAATCAATAATGTATCCTTCATTATCACATAAACCGCGGCGCCGGAGTGTAATAAAGCCATTTAGTAAAAACGATATTACACTAGACGATATTACACTAGTGTAATAACACTTTGACGTCACGTCATTTGCGCTATATAAACATAACGTTAAAGCGCGCTAATGTTAGCGTTACCACTATAGGCACGTCAAATAAAAGTGACTCTTGTTAACAGTTTAAAATTTTTATTTTATATATGTGATAAATAGAATACAAGTATTATATTATAATGTTACTTTCATACGCATGTGTACTTAGTACATATAATTAACATTACATATACAAGCAAAAACCTGAAATTTACTGTTTTGCTAATCTGACTGTAGGCAAAAAATCATTATTAAGTCTATTTGATAAATAAAATATTAATTCCTGTTATTTTACAATCAATCTGATTAAGAGTTTAAATCTGTGGTCATCTCATTTTATTCAATTTATAACATAAACGCAAAACTGGGAAGTACACTCTTACTATTCTGATACCCTAAACGTAAATCCCTACCTGATTTAATTTCCCTAATAGTACTAAATATATAACAATTATCTTGTTAACAACTTGGATCTAAAGCAAATCATTCATAATGATATGATTGGGTCAGCTAGAATTCAAACTATCGCTAAATTGAAATTGTGTAATAAACTCAGAGTCAATAATAAATCCCCATTTTGTCCAAGATGTAATAAATATTTTTCTATGAGAAAATATAGAATATATCATTATATCTTATTAAAATGTGTTATAATCATCATAATCATTTTTGAAATTCTAAATTGTTAATATTAAATGCGGTATCTAATCATTATCATAACAGTTCAGAAATAAAACATACAAACACAACTTAATAGAAGAGTCAATGAAAATGTGCAACAATACACAACAATCAAATAAAACTCAAATCAAAGTGTAACAAAAAATATATACAAGGAAAGACAACTCTTGGTACCAAATATTTCAGCAACATGCAGAAAATACAGTTATTTCCCTTTTCACTGTCATTCTACAAATAAATATTATCTCTGTACTTTAAAATTGTCATCCCAAGAAAAATGCTGAAAATAATTACACACAGAAAATGTTAATTGAAAATAACAAAAAGTTAATACTTCTTTTTTTCATTGTTGTTGTTCATAATTTTCATTAGATATGAATAAAAAATATAGATGTAAAATAAATGAATGACATATCCGATATTAACATAGTCTTACTGTACTGTTTTCCCGCCAAAAAATTCTAACATTGGCCAATATCATAGCAAATCGGTTATTTCTGCAACGTTTTTTTTTTCCAAAATCTTGGGCATTAGATAATTATTAATCACTTATCCTTAATCGCTATGTACTAAATTCCGGTTATAAGGGGTTAAAATTTTTAGAATACAGAAGATTGTGAAAGCAAATGTTCCAGAAATGACCGATTTATTACGATATATTGGCCGATGTTAGAATTTTTTTTGGCGGGAAAGCATTACAGTAATATTATCTTAAGTTAAGGGGAATTTTATAGCTTTTAGAGAAAATCTCAATTCTCAATTCTTTACTTCTATAAACAAGGAACACGGGCACAACTCAGAGGAATTCTTATCATTTTAGATTTTTATAATTCTGGAGTTCACCATATATTCTTATCATATGTGGGGTAGATCTAATTGTTACCATAGTATTCTCAATTTGTATATTATAATTTAACTAAAAGATTTTACATGAGGAAATTTTACATAAGCTAAAGGTGTTCTACAGGTTTTTTACAGGTATATAAACTCTATCCATATAAGGCAGTTACTTACAAAAGCTATTTTTACATAGAAAGTTTATAATATTATTTAAACTATAAAAAAAGAGAATTAAATAGTTACATATAATTAGAAAACTCATTTTTTATATGTAAATTGTACAAACAAAAAATTTCTATTAAGTACAAATGTAACACAGTATATATTGATTAAAAAAGAATTTTGTCAACTGTTTCAAAAAGTAACGAAAGTCAATGCTTTACATTTTAGTTGAACATGCATTTTTTTAATAAGTGTATAATTATTTTTTTCAGGTAAGCACTCTAGTCATGCTTTAGTGTATTGTTTATATAACTAAGTACTGAAATTAGCAGGAAAAAAATCTTTGCAAGGTCTAGTTAAAAATTATTTCAAAATAGAAATACAAGCATTCAATAAATTCTAGACATAATCCAGATCTATCACAATATTTCAAAACCATTTGATACCGAACCTTAAGTAAAACATTTAGCACTTCTCTTTAACAGCAAAGGTGCTGTAAAGACACTTGCTTTAAATCTGTATAAAAAAATTAGGGATGGCAACGAGTAACCGGTTAACCGAGCACTCGATCGAACGTCTGAATATCGGTTAACAAAATTGATATTCGATTACTCGGAAAAAATGTATAATTTCTATTTTATTTGCTATTTAGACAGTTTGGTGTATCCAATTAGTTCAGAAATACGGAGATGTGCATATACCTTCATAAATACCTGTTAAATGCAATCACAACTTCCTTGCAGAGGTGAGAAAATGATACCATAAACAACAGTTTGACACGCGCATATGTGTCGCTTACATCATCCGGCCTCTTATGATATTTAGTAACCTTAATTGTGAAACACAGTGCAGTTTGTACCCGAATCTTGTTTTAAGGTAACATTTTTGAAAACAACAAAGGGCCGTATTGCTATTATGAGATAATAATTAAGGTAGTATTTAGACCCGGTTAAACTTTTGTTGCCGTTGATCAGTCTATTTTATTACAAGAAGAAAAAGATGTTTCAACTGCTAAACATGTTTTAAACTTGATATTGCATTAATTAAAATGTTCTAAATTATAATGTCGTTGATTTAATTTTAATATATTTGTCTCCTTTGCAGTCCTATCTATAGTTATGAATTTTATGAATGTAAATAGAAAACGAAAGTAGCATGCAGACGGTGTTGTTATTGTGTGATAAACTTTGAAGATCATTGGAAATCGTCCGAGTAACCGAGTACTCAATCGGAAAAATGACCGAGTACTCGAGTATTGATTTTGGTATTCGTTGCCATCCCTAAAAAAAATCATTATCTTAAATCATTTTTCAGCAACATAACAAAATATTTATGAATATAAAACCATTTGTTTTAAGTTAAAATTAATATAAATAATATGTAGTTTCACAAATGGGTAAAATGACAAAGTCATTGACTTGATTTTATGTGAACTAGTGCAGAAACAAAAATGCAAAATTACAACACCAGTCAAGCAAAATATTTGAACAACATAAATACTAGGCATTTGAATTAAACTGAGTTGCAAAAGAATGTACTTGGTTACTTGGAAATTCTGTAAACTTACTTTATAGCAAAATATTGGCAAATATGATATCAAAATTTGCAGAAAATTATTGACCATGAGAGAAAGTAAAAGTTGCAGAATTGTGACTATTTCAGATTTCTTTTTTTTGTCTAATTGTGTGACAGTTAATCACTCTATGTAACGCATCAAATCAATGGATCGACAAAAGTGTTCAAGACTGCATGTAACTGACTTTATGTGACAAGGAATTTGGTTTGATTGATGTTCCATTCAAATATTCAAGTATCCAAAGGCAGAAAAACACATTAACAAAAAGTACACTAAGTCTACAACTTTTATATTTCGCCCCTCAGCTGTTTACAAATAATCAAAGATCTGATAATAATCAGATCACAATTAAGTATTTACCACAGCATTGTCAATACATTTCTGCAAATTTTGATACCAAATATGTTTTAATAAGTTAACAAAATTTTCCTGTAATACAGTGAACACTTTCTTTTACAACTGAGTATAGAAACTGAAAATTTTATAAAAGTTTCATTCATAGAATCAACACAAAACTATAGATAAATTTCCATTTTATGAATTCCATAAGGCAAAAATATTCTTGAAAAAAAGATCTGAAAATCTGCCTGTGACTTTTTTTAATATAAAGAGTGACATAACAAGCTTTTAAACAGACAGGAAGAAGGGCTAAAATTAAAATCTTCCACAAATTCTTTTCCTTCAGCAGACATTCAGTGTCTTAGTTGCAATATTAATGGCTTCAAAAAAGTTGTAAATATAATCCATTAACACTTAATAAATTATAAGACCAACAAATGATAAGAAGAGAAAACAATATGATATTCATCTAAATCAACCATACTGTACAGTAACACTCTAATAACCTGCCAAATCTGTGCAAAAAAATGGCCCAGCTTTGATTTTGGAAGAGTCCATTTCAAACTAAAAGGGTTTTTAATTTCAAAATTCAAAAT